GCATTTAAAAATTCAGCATTTAGCCAGGATATATACAATGGGGAAAATACAATTTGATAAGCCTAATACAACAAAACCATACAAGCAAGAATTGAAGAAAAGAAATAAAAATGATATATAGGTTCATTTGTCAAGGCATGGTTTCCTTAGTTAACTAACAAGTATACCTCCTCTCGAGATGCCTTGAAATGGTAACAAGCCAAACAGGTGTTCTGTAGTACACGTACAAGCCTATCGAACAACAAAGGGTGGTAAACCGGTGCCACAAGATCTATATCACCACAATGTCCTGGGCAATGATGGTCACGAAGACCACACGTTTTGCAGCTGTAACAATTAAAAAAAAAAAAAAAAAAATTAGAAATCAGGTATAAAAGGCTTCAATGCCCTACTATTCACCTCATTCACAATTAATGCCTCAAGCATAAACTCCTGCATTCAATATTCTCTCTAACACTTATTGAGAAATACACTGACTTAAGCATCGGAGGGGCGTTCCTCGGCAACCCCCCGAGGCCAGTTTACGTGTGCTTGTGTGCAGGAAACTCTTGGATCAGCTCATTGGATCAAGTCTCGTCTTCGGCCCACAACGAAAGTGACCCATCCGTGGTTCACATTGAACCCGAAACAGTATATAAATAATATAAGATATTTATAAAAAATTAATATAAATCAAAATTTAGACCCATTTTGAATCCGTTTTTATCTGGTTTGGGTCTGATTTTTTAGAACCTGTGCGTATGGGTCGGATCTGGGTCCACCTACAACATTCTGGGTCTGGATCGTCTCTACTGAAACCGCTGTTTGACTAAAGATGAAGGCTTTTATATTACCGGTTGGTAATTGGAAGATTTAATTCAACAGTGATAACAAAATAGTCTAAAGATGAAGGCTTTTATATAGTAATCTAAAATTAAAGAATCTACATTATTATTAATAATCTAAAGTTGAAGAATTAATTGTTAGAATTCAAAGTATTAATCAAAACAGTATAATACTCCGTAGTTTAGATTTGTTGGAACTAGAATATTTAATTTTTCATGTAATAAAAAAAATTAACTTTTGATTTTGACTAAAAAAAAAAGAAAGTAACTTACGGAGTATATTCATTCATGGGACCCAAAAGAGGATCATAGAGACCACCAGGCATAGGGCGGCCCACATTGTCAAACAAGTTGCGGTTTGTAATGTTGAGAACGCTGAGCTTCTTAACTTCTTCGTCTGTCATTACGCCGAATTCAACTTCCTTTACACACTCTGTTGCTACCTATAAATTCATTCAGATACCACAATTCAGGAACAAAATTTTCCCAAATATATATATATATATATATATATATATATATATATATATATATATATATATATATATATATATATATATACAGTAAGAATTATAAACTTAAGCTTCAATGGAGGAAATTATGGAATACCTCTGTTTGATCCATCTTCAAAAAGTGAATGTACTACTTGGATTGTTGTTAGGAATAAATTAGAATAATTGCGCAGTGGCGTCACCGGGATTTTCGAAGTGTGGGTTCGAAACTTCGGAAATTTGAAATCGTAATTAACAAAGGAATAAAAATATAATAATTAAATATTCAATACATAAATAAGTTCAAACTATGGATTACAAATAGATTACACATAGAAAAATGAAAAAAAAAAAAAAAAAAAAAAAAAAAGACTACAGAAGCATTCTTCGAGTCTAAACTCATGGTATATACTGCTAGTTTGCTACACACACATGATAAATGCAGAATGAAATCAATGAATGAATGATAAATCCAGAAGGCTAATTAAAACTATCATAATTAAAGATTACAGTCAATTAGTAAACGAAATCCAGAAGGCAGAAAACGAAATACGGAAATAGCATATGAAATTATGAAAACCAGAAGGCAGAAAACAAAATACGGAAATAGCATATGAAATACAACAATGTAACAAAAAAAATCCCCAAATTGAGAACTTGAGAAGTAAATTAGCAAATTATAACCAAACTTCAGCAATTTACAAAAAATCCCCAATTCGTAATGTATATTAGCATATGAATTTCAAGTATTCAACGATTTAGCAAAAAAAATCCCCAAATTGAGAAGTAAATTACATTTGCAAAAAAAAATCCCCAAATTCACTTACCTACATACACGACTGTCAGGCTGTGACGGTGGGTCTGTTGGCTGCTGCGCCGGGAAGAGAAGGAGGAAGAACGGGAAGAGAAGGAGGAAGAAGTTAGGGTTTTGCAATTTGGGGGAATGAGGAAGAGGAAAGCTGGGAAGGTAAGCTCAGGAAACAAATTTTTTAAAAAAAGTGTGAGTTACGGGTTTTGAACCCACAATCTCTTGTGTGATGGGAGGCAAAAATAACCACTGGGCTACACTTTACTTGTTACCACATAATACACAAATATTCTATTTAAACCTACTTTGATTTTTAAAAAAAAAAGTTCTTAATTTTTTTCAAAAAATCAGTGGGTTCAATGAACCCACTTGAACCCACCCTGCCTCCGCCCCTGGAATAGCGCCGAAAGTGTTAGAGGTTTAGAGGTGAACAGTACGAGTTAAAGAAATTAAAGACAGGAAAAAGATGATCATGAAACCCTTCTCTAGCTGTTTTATCTTATGGGTAGAGCTGTTCAATGGACTACGCCTCCATTAAAAGCCCTTGTCCAGCCCTTTTATAAATAGGCTAGGCCCGTCCAACAATTAAATGGGTCGGGCTCTAAAAGGGTCAATTTATCAAAGGGTTGGACTGGGATTTTAAAGGGCCTTTTAAAAAATATAAGGGAAATTCTATGTGGTGGCCATCAACTTTTGCAAATTCTATTTTGGTGGAAAAAAAAAATTGACATTATCTATAGTGGCACTAAACTTTTTTTGAACTCTATTTAGTGTCATAAATTAAATTAAATTAAATTAGGCTAAATAGACTAACATGGCTAACTTTTTAACTCTAAACAGTGAAATGACTAACCTACCCCTTTTAATTATTTCACTCCCCTCTTTCTCTTTACTGTTGACATCCAACCGCCATATACATACCAGTGATCATCACTTCATCAGCGTATTTTCGAAGAAAAAATTTTGGGCATTCAATTTTTGCACACCAATATCTATCAATTTCACTCAAATTGCAAGAACATTAATTTGGGGATTTAATTTCACCAACATTTGCTCATTCACTATTTTCTGAATGATTTTGAATAGTTTTGTAAAAATCGAAATTAGGGTTTTAATTTGGGGATTCATGCGAATTGGGGGTTTTGGACTGAAGAATACCCTGCTCGACATCTTTCAGGTAATATTGTAATGCTTTTTACTATAAATTTTGGATTTTGTTGATTTATTCATAGTAGATTGAATAGGTACTCTGTTTTTTCGACATTCTGACTTGTGTGGTGTAGTTTGATTTCGGTTTTTTTATTTCATTGAATTACTTGCACACAGACTTATGTATTCATATATTTATGTGTTCGGTTATGCAGAATGGATTCGATTTTGTTCAAATTCCAGACTGCTGAAAATGTGATTGAAATTAATGTTGATGATGTTGATAAAGTGATGTGGAATGATTTAATTGTTGAATATGAAGAGGAATTCAGGAAAAAAAGGTTATATGTTCCCTAAATATCCAAGTTTTCACTACCTCTTTAAGCAAAAACATGTTAAAATTTCTAGTGACAGTGACCTAATGTCCATGTTAGAGAGGTTAAGAAGCATTAAGGTGATTACAGTGTATGTTGGATCTGATATTGAACCCTCTGAATCTGTCATTGCTGCTAGAAATCTCACAAAAACATTGAATGCCAAACCCAAAAGTAGTGATGTCCCACAATCTGAGGAGGCTTTTGTTATTAATGAACCTAATGCTGATGATTTGCTATCACACTTTTATGAAACTATGTTGGAGAATTTTGAAAGAGTACAAGAGCAGGTGGAGGGGGAGGAAATGACTAGTAAGGGAAAGAAGGGGAAAGGCAGAGGGAGAGGTGGTAAACCTAGAGTGAAGTTGCCTGTAAGGAGGATGCCCCCAATTAATGACCAACCTCCCCTAGCTGCTACTACAACATTCTCTAATGCTCCTATACTTGAAATAAGCAACCTGAACTCAACCTCTTCAAACCACAATGCCATCATAGTTCATAGAATACCTAGGTCTACGCTGCTAGAAAGGGTTTGTTGAACATTGTTAATCAAATAGAAGAAGCTCAGGTGAGTACCGAAGAGGAGTTTAATAAGAGGTTTGAGAATGTGCCTATTAGTAGGGTTGAGGGTGATGAAAGTAGTAGGAGAGACCATTTTGAGGATGATGTACCTATTAGGAATGATAACAATGATAACATTGATGTCTTGGATAGGGAAGCTAACATAAATGATATATCAGAAGAAGAAGATGATGATGATTTTGGGGTGATTCAGGACAACTATGATGCATTTGCTGATGATACATGGCATAATGAGTTACTAGATGATGACAACTATTTCAACAAAATGTACAAGAATGGAGAGTTTGTTGATAATATGGAATTTGGCAACATTTTATTGACACCATGGATGATTTTTACAGACAAAGCACACTTCATATCTGTGCTTAGAGATTACTGTATCCAATGTGGGTTTGCTATTGTAGTAGAGAGGTCAAGTCCTACAAGATTCACTGCTCAATGCTTAGAAATGAATTGTAATTGGAGGCTACATTCCAGTGTTCTCCCTGACGGGTTTACATGGGCCATCAAGAGTATTCAGAATGCAGAGCATACTTGTAGGGGTTTAGATGAGAGAAATCCAATGGTTAATGTTCAATGGGCTGCAAGTAAGGTAATAAATGACATAAGGGCAAATAATGACATATCTGGGAAAACCTTGAATGAACTACTATGGAGTAGGTATGGGGTTCAAATGGCAACAAGTACACTGTACAAGATGAGGAGTATTGCATTGAAAGAGATCAATGGTGGCCATGATGAATCTTATGGGCATCTCCCCTAGTATTGTGAAATGGTTAGACAAACTAACCCTGGGTCTGCAGCTTACTGTGCATGGAGCCAACAAAATGGGCCTAATAAGGCTCTCATCTTCTCTAGTATATTCATCTCATTCAAGGGAGTTATAGATGGGGTTGGTGCAGGGTGTAGGAGTCTGATTGGAGTTGATGGTACTCACCTTAAAGGTAATTATGGAGGGGTACTGTTATCTGTTGTTGCCTTAGATGCAAATAATAAATTGTATCCATTAGCATGGGCTATAGTTTCGGAGAAGATGTTGAGAGCTGGAAGTTCTTCTTTTGGCATTTGAGGCAGATTTTGAAAGACTGTAATAGAGGGGATGATTGGTGCATTATGTCTGATAGACAAAAAGTAAGTACTTAAATTATATTTAAGAAAAATAGTGCATTATCACTAATATCATTTGAATTACTAACATCATTGTATATGTATTTTTTGCAGGGAATAGATCCTGCTTTGACTGAGTTATGGCCAGAGGTAAAGAGAAGGTATTGTTGCAAGCACTTGGCAAAAAACTGGACAACAGCCTTCCCAGGACCATTGATGGCATATCATTATTTTGGCTAGCATGCAGTGCCACTTCACCATTTACTTTTAAGAAGGCTATGAACAGAATAAAGAAAGCAAATCACTTGGCCCTTGTATGGTTGTCTAAGTTGGGAGATCAAGAAAGGTGGACGAAACATAAATATGACCCTAAGATATGCTCAGATGAGAACACGTCCAATTTTGTGGAGAGTTCCAATGCCACATTAGGGGTTGATAGATGTAGGCCTATTTTAACACTCTTGGAAGGTAATGTCTTAGTGAATTTGGAAACTTTTTTATAGTTGTAACTTGCAATTTTGAACTTTCTTTGTTTTATTTCCATAGGCATAAGAAGGGTGTGCATGACTAGAATTGCATCTAGAAGACAAAAATGTCAAGACTGGAATAATGCTGATCCATGTCCAAATATAGTCAAGAGAATTCGGAAGCTGATGCATGATTCAAGGACATGTAAAGCATACCAGAGCAGGAAAGGTGAATATGAAATAATGGAGGGCAAATCAATGCTACCAGTGTCATTAAACAACAAGAATTGCATATGTGGGGTTTGGCAAACAACAGGAATCCCTTGTAGGCATGCCATAAGGGCAATACTTGCTGCAGGTTATGATCCACATCGATATGTGAGCACATGGTACTCTGGCAGGGCCTATAAACAAGCTTATGCTCATCATATCAACACAATACCAGACCATGAGCATTGGCCATAAATTGATCAGCCTACAATTGATCCACCTACCATGAAAAGGGGTATTGGAAGGCCTTCAAGAAATAGAAAAAGGGGTGGTGATGAGCCTGCAAAGGGAAGAAGATCCACTACTGTTCAATGCCAAAAATGCAAGGCTTATGGACATAACTCACAGACTTGTAAAGGTGGTTTGACAGCTAAGGAGAAAGCAATAGGTTGTGTCATACAACAACACAAGAGGCAGAAGACATCAACAACCAATTCAAAGTCTGCCTCACAGCCTACTCCCTCACAGCCTGGTAGTTTCCAAGCAACTGGTTTACAGCCAAGAGCAACATCTCAGTCACTGCAAATTGGTAGCAGAAGCTTTACTGTTTCACAACAAAAAACTAGTGCAGGGTCTTCTCAAGATGCAACAAGAAGCTAGGGAAAAGAGAAAGTCTTGTGATTACAACTTAGAGTCTTGGATTACATTTTGATTTCTGAATTACTGTACTTTTTTAGCTGGACATATGGTTTTTATGTTGAAGTTTGAATATTTTTGTTGATAGCAATTTGTGATTTTTGAACTAATTTAATGCATTTTTAGTTCTTTGTGAATTTAAGTCTTGTATATGGTTTCTACTGTTCTGTTATTCTGTTGTGTGCTGTTTTGCTGCATTGCTTTTCTAGTGTGTGCACGGCTTGTAGTGTGCACAGGTTGGCTGTGTGCATAGGCTTGTAGTGTGCAGGTTGGCTGTGTGCATAGGCTTGTAGTGTGCACAGGTTTGTAGTGTGCACAACTTCTGCGTGCACTCTTGCTGCATGTTTTCTGTTGGTACGTGCAATGTTGCTGCGTGCACTGATGTTTACTGCTGCGTGCACTGTTTTTTCTTTATTTTTAACTTGAGCAGGCCACTATTGGGAGGATCATTGAACCCAGCAATTCTTGCTTGGAAACTTGATCAAATATGGATTTATTTCATTGCCTTGGTTGCTGGTGCAATTCTTGGAGTTTTAATGGTTCATGCCTTGTGTCTTCATCATCAACCTCTAATTATAATTGTCATCTGGTATCATTAATAATAAATCATTCACACCAAATTCATACAGAGTACAAAATAAACACCAATTTTTTTATTAATAATTCAAATTGCATATTAAATTACTTCCCAAATTGCAACTAACATATTATCTCTTTCTAACAATCTAACCAAAATTACATCATTTTTTTAACATTAAAACATAGATAATAACAACAACAACAATTATTTTTCACATAGTTCCCAAAGCTCTTATACATATCATCAATCTTCTTGTGAATTTCTGCAATTTCTTCATTTGAGAATCTTCGTATTTTTGCATTTCCTTCTTCCTGCAATTGTAATTCGAAGAGCCTTATTTTTTAATATTACCAACGACAAAAATTATCGAAGAACCCAATTGTAGCAACCGTCAGTTGCAAGGCATCGTCTTCACCCAATTAAAGAATTTATCAGTTGTGCATCACCTTGAAGCAATTGAGTGATGTGCCAATTTTAAAAGAACCCTAATTTTTCAGGGTCAGGGGAAATAATTGAAGAACCCTAATTTTCAGATAAAGGTCAAGAATTCGAAGAACTCAAATTTTTCAGAGAAAGGGGGAAAAATTCTAAGAACCCTAATTTTAGAGAAAGGGGGAAAAATAGGAATGCAGATAAGTCAAATAAACGGTGGGTTCATATAAAGGAGTGGAGGGTAGGTTAGTCATTTCACTGTTTAGAGTTAAAAGGTTAGCCATGTTAGTCTATTTAGCCTAATTTAATTTAATTTAATTTATGACACTAAATAGAGTTTAACAAAAGTTTAGTGCCACTATAGATAATGTCAATTTTTTTTTCCACCAAATAGAATTTGCAAAAGTTGATGGCCACCACATAGAATTTCCCAAAAAATAATCATCTAACTCTTACAACTCTATTATCATAACTATCTTACATGTTACCACTCAAATCAAATTATAAAATGTAAAAAACAAAATCCCAAATGTCCCCGAATTATAAACCCTAAAAAAATTTGATCGAAAATTTTCCCCAAATTCTTTACCAAGATTTCTCTTCAACGTGAATCTGGGCTCTCGCAGGGTTCTCCATTGTCGTACTTCAATCTTTGTTCTCCACTGAAGCTCTCTCATCGGGTTAGTACGATAGATGGAAATGATGAAGATTCGTTTTTTGATTTCTGCTTTGTGGGTTTTCAATTCTTTTTTTTTTTAATATCAATTGTGGGTTTTCAATTCTTTGGGAATTTAAGGAAGTTAGATTACTACTCATAAACTACAATATACGGAGTAGTCTTTGTGATGTCTGATTTTTTTTGACTCTTTGTAGTAGAGAAGTTGTTGTTTATTTTTTTCTAATTCGATTCAATCATGAAGTCTAGCCTTTATTAGGCCCTTTTTAGGTCCATTAATGGGCTACCAAATTCTTTTTCTAAATAAATGGGCCCTTTACCAAATTCGATTCAATCATGAAGTCTAGCCTTTATTAGGCCCTTTTTAGGTCCATTAATGGGCTACCAAATTCTTTTTCTAAATAAATGGGCCATTTACCAAATTCGATTCAATCATGAAGTCTAGCCTTTATTAGGCCCTTTTTAGGTCCATTAATGGCTACCAAATTCTTTTTCTAAATAAATGGGCCCTTTACCAAATTCGATTCAATCATGAAGTCTAGCCTTTATTAAGCCCTTTTTAGGTCCATTAATGGGCTACCAAATTCTTTTTCTAAATAAATGGGCCCTTTACCAAATTCGATTCAATGCCCTTTTTAGGTTGCTGCTGCTGCTCTGCTTCTGCGTTGCAACTATTCTGTCTGCCCAACTATATATGTTATTTGTTTTGGCCAACTTTCATAGACTCAACTATATGTATATATTGGTTCAACTAAAAAAAGCCCTTTAAGACCCTTTAAAAGCCCATTTAAGACCCATTAATTGGTTCAAATTTTCTTTTGTTTAATAGGTGGTTGTAATTTAGTGTTTTAAAGTTTTAAATGGCTGGGCCAGGCCGGGCTTAATGGGCTATGGCCCGACCCGGGCCATTTCAGATCATCCTTAGCCCAGCCTGGCCCGACCCGTTTAATTAAGTTATGGGACACGATGGTCTTTTTCCTGAATGTGTCTGGGTATTTTTGTCATTTATTGGATAAAATAATTATCTTTATTCCTCTTACCATACAAAGATATTACCTAAAATCACTCTATCTTTTTTTTTATTTTTATTTTTAAGCTGAAATAATGAGGAGTACAAAAATAAAGTTGAAAATTTAATTTTATTAAGCTTTGGTAAATGGTACACTAAAAACTAATGATCGTCCTACAACAATATTTTACCCGCCATACCTAGGGTCATTTCATTATTTTAGTATGTGGGGATCCGGGACAAGTAGGGTTTGTTGGAATTGTTAGATTATCATGAATAAGAGAATAAAAGCTTATTTTATAGAGTGTGATCAATTTACTCTAGATGAGATCAAAAATTCAAGTCAGGTAGAGCCTACCGTAATTGATTAGTTTACACTAGAGCTGAATGAATTTGTAGGTTGTGGCCTACCACAATTGCTCATGAGTGGGTTTAATTGTGAATTACACATTCCACTACTTGGATTTTTTTTTTTTTTTTTTTTTTTGTAGTTAATAGAATGTTTAACTGGAGTTGTTATTCACCTTAATATTTATAATCATACATCACTTCATCATCTTCTTCTTCTCTTTATAAACTCTTAGTTGATGATTATAATAGCTTGAAAGAGCAAATTCACAAAACACATCCTACTTACATATTATACAAAACACATAGAAAGTTAAACATAATTCTTTTTCTTTAGGCATAAGTTTTCTATGACTCAACTTCTCACCCTAAAAATTTCTTATTGTGAAAGCGATGTCTAACCTTAGGGCACATACCGGCGATATAATGAACACCTAGGTTTCATGCGACGGAATTCGTTTTCAAAGTCAGTGTCACGCCACACCATTTTCCTTTTATCAATCAAACACATAATTCCTTATATCTTTATAACCTTTGAAATACTCTTATTTAACAAGAAAATTTTATTAAAAACCACCAAAAAATAAGACTACAATTCGTGTTTTACCACCATAAATTTTAAAAATATTATTTTACCACCAAATAAAAAAAAAAATTATGTTTCACCACCTAGACGGGACTCCATTTTTTATTGGAAAATTTGTCAAGAATATTACGACCTTTGTCTGGTCTTCCAAAAATATAACGACCTTTTGATTATCCCTTAATAAAATGACCTTTGACATCCATCTTCCTAAAATAGGATGCAACCGGTTGGCAACCTGTTTAGTAAGTTAGTACACCATGTGTCACGTAATTATTGGTAGGTTATTTATATTTTTAAAAAAACTTTAAAAAATACTAGAAAAAAATAATTAAAAAAATAGAAAAAATTAATAAAAATACCAAAAAAATAATTAAAAAACCAAAAAAAATAAAAAAAAAATAAAAAATTAAAAAATACCAAAAAAAAACCAGAAAAATATTAAAAAAAGAAAAAAAAACCCCGAAAAAACCAGAAAAATAAAAAAAAAAAAGAAAAAAAAACCCCAAAGCCGCCAGCACCCACCCCTGCCGGAATCCCCTCTCCCCTACCCTAGACCCCCCTTCCCAAATTCCCCAGCCGCCGGAGAATGCCAATCCGGCAGCCCCCACCCTCGATTTTTATTTTAAAAAAAACCCAGACCCCTTCCCGTAACCACCCCATCATCCCTTCACTAACCTCGCCAACCACCAACCACCGAGACGACTAGCCATAGCGAACATTCCTCATTGGCCACCGATAGGGGAAGGGGTGGTGCGCGGTCGGAAAAAACAGGGGGAAGGGGGTGGGGTGTGTGGTCAGAAAAGACAGGGAAGGGGGTGGATTCGTGGCCGGAAAAAAGCAGGGGAAAGGGGTGGGTTCATGGTTGGAAAAATCAGGGGAAGGGGTGGGGTGTGCAGTCGAAAAGACAGGGGAAGGGTGTGGGTTCGTG